TGGACGCTTGTCCCTGGAGCTGAGCCGCCCAGCGGGCACCACCTCCCCGCGGGGAGCAGGGCTGCACGGGGGCCCGGTTCTCGCGGCCCACAGGTCCCGGCAGGCAGCCTGGCAGGGGAGCCGGGTGGGAATCCAGGGGTGCCTTTTCCTCCTTCGTGCTGGGGCAGGAAGGGTGTGGGCACGGCCCCGGCAGCATGTGCTGCTGAGCCGGAAGGTGCCGGAAGGCATGCTGAGTGCTAAAGGTGTTCGGCCGAGTAAATCAAACGTCCCGTGGGGGCGACGGCGTCCGTCGCAGAGGCTAACGGCAGAAAAGAGGAATCAGTCAAGCTTTTCGAATGTATCTGTTAGAAAGGAGATTGTGGTGATAAAGAGCTGGAGACCACAGTGCAGTTGTCGAAGGACCTCTTGGTGGTGATCCCAGCACAGCCATTTCTGTGGGCTTGGGGCGAAGGGCACTGGTATTTCCAAGGCTCCTTCGAATTAGGGTTGCATCACCGACTTACTTTTTTCTTTTTAAAGATTCTCAGTGATGGATCTCAGACTTCTGTATAACTTTAATAGCTTGGAAGTTTTACCTTTGAAGACAGTTCCCCCCCGCCTTTCCTTCTCAGCCTGGAGCAGGACCAGGCCGGCACTGAAGGCCGTGTTTGCATCTGCCGCTGTGTTCCTTGCCTTCTCGCTCCCTGTTGCTGGGGGGGAGCTCCGCGTCTGAGATGATGAACTTGGCTGCACCTGGGTCGGCGGCTCCAGGCCTCCTGTGGATGCTGGGTTCCCCTGGCAGCCCTTTCCTGCCGAGCCCGAGCCCCGGGCAGGACCTACAGGCGCTCCCTGGGGATCCGGAGAGGCTAGGAGAGCCCTTTACGTTTTTGAGATTCCATACATGAGAGCTGTCATTCTCGGAAATAAATCACGACCGTTAGGAAGCAGAGCACAAGGGGAGACAGGAGCGTCCCTCCTCGAAGCCCTGCGGGGCAGCCGGCTCAGGCAAGCACCTTGCTTGCAGTGTGAGCGGCAGCCTGTCAGAGCGTGAGTTGGAGAGGCTGTTGTGCAGGAGTGCAGGTGCACCGCGGCCAGCGGCCCCATCGAGCATCGCCTGCATCGGGGCGAGGACAGGACCCAGGCCCGCGGCTCCATGGGGCCGTTTCCTGGGCCCCACCTGCTTCAGCCAAGCAGCGATGCACAGGCCTGCTTCTCAGGGGTGGGTTTATTAATTGAGGGGAAAGGAAAAGGCCCGAATAGGCAGTAAGAATTAAGTGCCTTAAAGATGGGTATAAAATGGAAACAGGGCTGCACAGTGAAACCCAGATCAGTCGTAAAGGTGGAAGGGGAGCACGAAAGATGGTTCGGGTGGTGAATTTCTTGTTCTGTATGTCTTCCCACGATGAAAAGAGTTAGAGAAAGTTAAAGGGGAGTAATTTTTCTTACCGAATGTCCTTCCTGCGTGTCTCGATTTAATCGTGGGTGCGCGTGTGCGTGTGTATGCGTATGTGTGCGTATACGGTGTTGCTTCAGGGGTTTCAAACTGTGGAGTCCCTCCCTCCCCTGAACTTCGGGACTGGTGGGGTCTCCGAGGGAGATGTGCGTCCGTGCGTGTGTGCGAGTGCACACGCACAATGAGCCAAGCAACCACAGATGTGGGGCACGTGTCATGGCCTCAGAAACCTAATTAGTGCTGCAGTTTTGAAGCCATTTCCAGGAGGGTCCTATTTAGAAAGAAACTGAGGAATTTAAGGCGCGTGTAGCCCACACACATCATTTGGGCCCAGGAGAGAGCAGGCCATGGAAGGATGACTGTGCATGTCCACATGTGTGTGCACACGTGTGCATGCGCCTTTTTTCACACGCACACGCCTGTTCGCTGTGTGTGCCCATGTGCTCACGCTTCCATGCACCTATTTTCACACACACATACCTGTTCACTCTGTGTGCCCATGTGCTCAAGTGTGCATGTGCCTGTTTTCACACACACACACCTGTTTA